GAATACTCTTACTTGATACCCTGACACATTATATGCATATAACAAAACTTTCTCACATATCCCATAAATTTGTACAAATAAAAAAAAAACTTTTAAAAAATAATTTTTAAAAAAGACAGAAAGAGCAGTTTTGGACACTTCTATAGCTTATTGCAAGAGGCCCCTCCTCTGTGAAGCAAAATAAATCAGTTCTTTTATGGTATTCATGGTACTTTGTTTACCTCTTTATCACATTCACATTTCCAACAGGAACCTGGATTGTATCTTACTCAATGTTGTATCCAATGCACCTAACACATTGTTTCACACTGAAATACTTGTTTCATGTATAGTTGCACAGCTAGAAGAAATCACCTAACACATTTTTTTAAAAACCTTGTTTTTTTCTCTTTAGGTTTGATTTTGCCAGAAACAATAAATATTTTGATCCATAGTCTTAAAATCACCGTGTTCATTTTGTTAAACTGTGACAAGGTAGTAATCTAAGAACTCTATTCCCTGGCCAAGCTCAGAAAAAGCCATTTTATTGACAGGAAGCAGAACAGGGATTTGGAGGGGGAAATACCTGGATCCCCATCCAGCGCCACTATTTATCAGCTCTGTGAACTTGGAGAAGTTATTCCATCTTTCAGCTCTTTGCTTTCTTTGTCTTAATATGGAAGTAGAAGTGATAACTACTGCCTGGGTTTTTGGAGAAGATAAAAATAGACAAAAGAGGTACAGGAGTCTGAGATTATGTCAGGCACATGGTAAACAGTAAGTAGTAGTGACTAGTATTTTATTTATTAATAATATTATTGTTACTAAAGTCTCAAAATTATTAAATACTTTCAAAAATTGAGGGCTGCAGAGACTTGAGAATTATGGAAGACTGACATACTCATGCTCATTTCTGCCTTGCTAATGTAACACTAATACCATGGAGCTGAATCCTAATATTACATATCAGGAACTGAAATTTAATCGACATGCAAAAGCCCCTGACAGAATTAATAATTATGATCAAGAAACCATGAACAACAGATTTTAATGATCAGATAAGGAACTTATTTCCAGCTACCCACCGTGAGAAGCTAATCTTCCTCTATGTCCTAATCTACTGACATACAGACTCTGGGCTGAAATAAGCTCTTAATAATGAATAATCTAGCTATGGATATAATTCTGTACAGAAAATGGAGGATTATAGAACATTTCAGAAAGAATTGGTTTTCTCTTTTCCCCACTTCCTCACCCATTCAGACATTTTTCTTTAAATACTGTTTTGACTGTTGCTGCCACCTTAAGGATGTAAGAAGTTGTGTACAAAAGTGTAGAGAGCATATTCAATAACACTCCAAAGAAAACTTTACAGGGAAAAAAGGCTGCTGGAATTCAGCAAAAACGCACAGACTGGCTGATATTTATACTCATTACCCCTAAGAAAAACTGTCTGCTAATGCTGACTTCATTCATTCTGGAGTCTTAGGATAAGGTGGAAAATATAGACCAGGCATTCGTAACTTCCACTAATGAACCTTTGCACACTCACACACTCACACACACAAACACACACAGGCTCAGTGATGAGTGTTCTAATAATTTTGAGTATTCCACACTAGGATGCAAAGAGTAAAAAGCACAGCTTTTCTTTAATTGTTAAGGGATGTTGTAGGCAGCCTTATTAGAAACTTTGAAACAAAATCTAGAAAATTATGGTTGTAAGCCCATAATGATGCTCATGAGCTAATTAACCTGCTATTCTTCTGATGTGGGACATTATAGGATGTATCAGAAATACCTGAAAATATCTCAATAAAAGTGAGATGGGACCCTGGGTCTTGAAAAAAATAGTCATAATTTGGGTCAAAGTTTGCTAGAGAAAGTGAAGGGAGAGGAGTGTGGAAAAGTGAAAGGAACCAGAATGTGCTCCACTCTGCAGAGCTTAATGTGTCCTGAGGAGGCTGGCAGACAAGGGAAGATTTCAAAAGAGAAGAAAAGAAAAAGAAATGAGAAGAAGGGAAGGAGCAAAAAAGAAATGACAGTAAGTCATTTATCTCTTCCTTCATTTATCAAATATTACTGAGCACCTAACTACGTGCCAGGCATCGTGCGAGATACAAAGGTGACAGTCTCTGACTCCAAGAAACTCAAAATCTCATGAGAATGCCAGCCAACTAAAGAAGGAATTTTCTGCAGCCAGACTCAAAGGAAGCTTCTGTATCTCACCCTCGTTCTAGAACCTCCTGGTTAAAGTTTCCTATGGGAAAGACTCAGGCTGGGGATTTGAAAAGACCTGGATTTACAATCCTCCTCTCCATCCTTACTCTTTTATCTTGGCCAAGTCACCCAACCTGTGTGAGCTTCAGTTTCAGCTTCTGTAAGATGGGAATAATAAAAGCTACTGTCATGACTGGCAGACAGTAGTTACTCAACACATACCTATTGAATGAATGAGTGAATGAATGCTAAATGAATAAGAAGTGTACTTCCAAGAGAAAATCAATTTCACGTTTGCTGATTTGATTGTTGAAAAAAAATTGTTCCCATCTTAAATTTCTTTTAGAAAGTGATGGTATATAAATACACACTCAGTGCTCCTTAAATGATTCCACTGAAGTACCCAAAGGGGGCTAAATATATATGAGACGCTATTCCCATAAACAGGTAGATTTTTTGCTCTCCATGCTAATCCTTCAAATGATACTTTTAATTATCCATATGTAAAGCTGATGATCCCGAAAGAGAGAGAGTGATCACATTGCAGTTTAGAAATCCCTCCTGCACACTGCAGGAAACCCCAGCTTGAGAAGCACATACGAACATATGTAGTACATGCTCACACCTCTTTTTTTAATTGAATTTAACCCATTTTTTTCAGAATCAGCTCTAACGCGTACTAGGTATTCTGCCCATAGCCTCTTTCTGAAAATTCCAGCACGTGCCCAGCCCCTGTGGAAGGTGTGAGCTTGAATGGCTGTGTTTCACCTGCATGATGTTGCTTGCTCATTCTAGCCACAGCTGACTGGTCAAGTCATAGACCTCTAACACAGAAAGACAGATCTAGAATCTAGGCTAAGTCAAGAAGATCCACTCCCTCCTAAGAAAATAGACGTTGGTGAGCACATGGCTCTGAAAAGTTATCCAGGGATCAAGGCCAAGTCTGTGCCGCAGAATTTCAAAGCCATCTCAAAAGCAGTTCTAAGGCACGTAGAATAGCAGGCAAAGGCAGTACAAAGAGAGAAGCAGGTGTCTAAGAAGACAGCAGCCGAGAAACAAAGAAGCCCAGGAGAGAAGAGAGGTGATCACTTCCCAGGTTAGCCTCTACATCCGAGCTGCGAGTCATTCCCAAATTTCATCTCTGTATTCCCTAAACTTATTTCTGTGGGACTTTTTATCATTGCCTTTCAATAAACTTTCTTTAAATTTAACTCATCTGGATGGGTTTGTGTTTCTCCATTAAAAAATTCCCTGACTTGGCTACTAATATGCCTACCCAAAATTGAAAAATTGGAAGTAGCTTCATTTCATTTCATTTTTGGAAAAATTTGTGCTAAAACACCTCTTGTTTTGAGGCCATGTAGACATATTTTTTTCTTTGAAAATAAATGCTCTCTAATCCTGCTGGGAACCACTAGGACCCAGGGTCTGTGGCCAAGTTGTACCCTATCCCAAGATGAAATGAATCAGAAGTGCAACGGACTGGATGTTTGGGTTTTTCCAAAATTCTTATGTTGAAACCCCAGTTCCAATGTGATAGTATTAGGAGGTGGGGTACTGGGGATATAATTAGGTCATGAAGGTGAAACCCTCATGAGTGGGATTAGTGCCCCTATAAGAAGAGACAAGAGGAGCAGTTTGTTCTCTTTCTACTTCATGAAGACGCAGAGAGAAGTGGGCAATCTGCAACTTAGAAGAGGAACCACACTAGAACCCAACCATGTGCTGGCACCCTGATGTCAGACCTCCAGCTTCCAGAACTGTGGAAAATAAATTTCAGTTTTTATAAGCCATGCCACCTGTGGTACTTTGTTACAGCAGCCTGAGCCAGGGATGGCAAGGTAGACCGGCTCCCTATGCACCTTCCTCACCTGTTGGGCAAGGCCCCCAAGGCCATTCTTAGCAAGATTGAAGGGTTAGATTCACTGAACTTGCCCCAGGGCAAGAAGCACCACCTGATGAAGAAAGTGCAGATACTTCATATTAGCAGAAATGAACTGTGAAACTTAAAAAAATAATAAAACTTTTCAAAGCTATCAGTTTTTTTTACGTTGACAAACCACACTGTGAGAAAGATGTGATATTTTTCTATTCTCACTAAAGAAAACATTAGAAAATTGTCACAGAAAAGTGACCAAAAATAAGCAGCTACTAAAATATGAGTGAAAAAACATGTTAAAGAGATGAGTCAGGCAGATGCATATTACCAATATCAATAAGACTGTATATTTTTGGATTTCATGATGCTGATGGCATTTCTCAACTTTTGAAAAATTTTAAGATGAAAGTCATGATTTATTTTCTCATTCTAAGTAAATATTCACTTTGTACCTAATTTTATATTCATAACTTTGTATTTTTTTACTTTTTCTTAAAGATTATTTTTCAAAACTGCTGAATTTTCAGACCCTATAACAGGTGAATCTACCCATGTCCACATGTTACATGTAAGGAAACTGAGGTAAAGAGAGTTAGGAAAGTAGCCTAAGGTAGCACAGTTGAAAGTGGAACCAAGATTTCAACCAAGGAAGTTTGGATCCACTATATCACATAGTTTTTTGACCTGCCACAAAATTTAACTCTACTAAAATTACTGGTGTGCACTTTGAATGACTTTAAAGTATTCACACAGCTGTTTCTCTGATTAGAATCTGAGCCCCTTGGGGCAGGGGCTGCAATGTATCCTTATTTGCATCCCAGGCAATTACTTCAGCAAAATGCAGTACAATACTCATTAAAATTTTTCTCAAAATATGAATGTATAACTGAATGAACCAACTCTTTATATTCCCATTTTTCAGGTGACACACTGTGATTCAGAGGAAGGCCAAACAGGAACTGGCAGCCTGGAGAAAGACAAAGGTAGGCTTTTGGACTTGTGACTCCCAATCCTTAGGTTGAGGGCCCCTGAAGAGTGGAGATGTTAACGCAGAAACCATAATGTGCTACAGCATCAGTAAATAAACCAGTGCATAATGCCCCTTCTGTGAAGGTGGGCAAATTTTCTGAAAATAAAGAGTTCCTTATATATGGAACAAGCTGGGGATACTGTGGTAAGATAAAGTAGGACTAAATGTCCTGGGCCAAGACACTAAAATCCAGCCTTTTTTTCCCCCCTGTCACTCTGAACTAGGAAATCATAGAGAGATGCAACACTTTCAGCCCAGGGAAAGATCACTGGCATAAAAATTTAAGGATGAAACACAGTGTCAAGCAAGATGGACAGTCTAGGACCAAGGAATAAAGCTGGTTCCTTGGAGAGAAGAGCAACTCAGAATCAAGTCAGCAAACAGAAGCACAGACACAGCAGAAGCCAGTGCACAAAAAGAACAGAAGTTCTAGAAAATATGATAATATCTATAAAAACATGTCTTAAAATGGTTAAAATTGTCATCAAACATTGTGTACCACACTCCTCCATCCCTGCCCAGCCCCAAGTCCTATTTCTTAGCCACCTTTGCTGTTCCCAGAACTACCTGTGATGTGGACCAGGAGACCAACAGCACCAGTCCCTTTCCAAACAGCCACAACTCCCAGGACCTTCCTTTTGGACTCACAAGAAGGCACGAGAGACCTGCAGCCTGAATCATGCAAATGCAGGGCAGGGGGACCAAGTTTAACAGCACAGAAGGGAGGACCCAGACGAGAGGAAACCAGGCTTCTGGCACCCAGCACCTCAGTCTCACTGAGGCCACATCACTCCAATCTCTGCCTTTGTCATCACAGGGCACTCTCTTCGTATGTCTCTCTGTCTTCACATAGAGCGTCTCCTAACAATCTTCCCTGCATCAACCAGCATTAAAGTCAATCAGTGTGGAAAACTGTCAGCCCTGCATGACATTTTAGCTTTATTCCCTAATGCCTTTTTTGTGCTTATGTGAGGAAAATAGATAGAAATATGGTTAACTTGTGGTTCTTTTTGATTTGGAGTTTGAGGGATTTTCCAAGTAATGAAAAAGCCTGGCCTCCTGGGGCAAAGATATTCACTCAGTGAGAAGAAAAAAATATTGCTCAGAGAAAAATGAATTGAGAGCTCCTGAGAAAGGACCTACTACTGAAGACAATTTTGTTCCTAGAACTACACTAAGCCCAAAGCATAAAGCCTCAGAGGAGCTATGGGCCTGGGATCCCTGTGAGGGAGACACAGGTACAGCCAGTTGGGAATTAAGTGAACAGAATTCCCAAGCCTGTGACATCTCCTACATCCAAGCCCAGGCTGGGTGCTATCGGTTGAATTGTGTCCACTCCAACAAAAAGTATGTTGAGGTCCCAAAGCCCTATACCCCAGAATGTGCCTTTATGTGGAAATAGGATCACTACAAATGTAATTAGTTGTAACGAGGTCATAAACAAGCAAGGTGGGCCCCTAATCCAGTATGATGGGTGACCTTATAAGGAGATGCTCATGTGAAGACACAGAGACACACAAGGAGAATGCCATGTGATGGTAAAGGCAGAGACTGGAGTGATGTAGCTGCACATCAAGGGAACTCCAAAGATTGCCAACAAACCACCAGAAGCTAAGGAGAGGCAAGGCAGGATTCCCATACAGGTTTCAGAGGGAAAACATACCCCTGCTGACACCTTCATTTCAGCTGTGGACCTACAGAGCTGAGACAATAGATTTCTGCTGTTTAAAACCCAGTTTGTGGCACTTTGTTACAGCAGCTCTTGGTAAGATAAATCAAACCTAAACATCCTGAATCAGGTGAAGGGATTAGGAGGGAAGTATCTGACTGGAAGAATGTTGTACACTCACTCTAGACTGGAAGGAAGGAAAGAAGTATCATATTTATGTATGTCTGTGTAATATGTAATATAATATGTATTCTTTTTTTGGAGAAAGAGAGGCCAAAACAAATTGTGGCAGGTGCAAAGCCTTTTTCTACCAAATTACCTACGACAGGCGTCCTCAAACCACAGCCTGCGGGCCACACGCGGGTGTTTTTGCCCATTTGTTTTTTTACTTCAAAATAAGATATGTGCAGTGTGCATAGGAATTTGTTCATAGTGTTTTTTAAACTATAGTCCAGCCCTCCAACGGTCTGAGGGACAGTGAACTGGCCCCCTATTTAAAAAGTTTGAGGACCCCTGGCCTATAAAACCTGATGGCAACAATCAGCTTCAAAGACTTAGAAGCTAAATTAAATCAAAGAACAGTAAAATTTTCCCAAGTGCAATTTACATTTTTCTTTCTTATTTTAAGTCATTTCAAGGCAGGTTCATATCTTAAGATCATGACTCTGAACAAGAATTATCAAATAGTACATTGTCCGTGGTCTAATTTATTGGTAAATAAAGAATACTAGTAATTATGGGCTTTAGATTTAGTGGACACAGGTTCAAATTCTCACTAAACCAATAATTGATGTGTAACCTTAGGCAAGTTATAACCCACCTATATCAATTATTTACAGTCAAAGTAATGATGTGTAAACAACTATCATTTATTATTGCTCATGCATCTGAGGATCACGTAGGTGTGATCTAGGCCAGGTTGGACTAGGCTCTGCTTCAAGCTGCAGGTGGGGATCAAGTTGTCTCCATGTGTCTTGCATCTTCCTTGGACCAGCAGACTAGCAGGAATGGCAGAACTGTAGACACACTAGACCATTATTTGGCCTTGGCTTGTAACTGGCCTGCTATCCCTTCTGCTCACATTCTGTGCACTACAGCAAGTGGCCAAGACCAACATCAATGGGTCAGCAAAATATAAACTGTCTCTAGTTAGAGAAGAAGGAAGGTGAAACTGAATAATTGTTGAATAATTCCAATTATCACATCCCCTGAATATGTCTTCTTTGTGCAAAATGGAGGTAGTAATAGTACCTAACAGAGTTGTTGAAGTATATGTCTCCATTTACAAACTGTAATATTTCACATAAAGATACAGATGTTCTTTAAAAAATATATCCAAAATATGAGGTCCACTGTTCCACCTGGCAATAACTGACTGAAGATTGAATGGAGTTTGCCCAATTTTGGAAGAGGTTTTCAGACTCCACGTGTAACCCAACAATTCATGCATTAAAATTACCTCTTCGGCACCTAGAATCATCTGAGCTATGGCCCCTCCTGTACACCAGCCTTAATATGTGTGAGGTGTTCGCCGAAGAACCTCATAAATGGACCTAATACTGTGAGGCCAGAGCAAAAGACAAGAATGAAGTTCGAAAGAGACTCCACTATGAGGATTTCTTCCTCCTGCTGGGCTCCCAACTTACATGGTTGGGAAAGATATTTTATAACATAGACAAAAAGAAGCCTTTGGATCCAATAAATCTTTAGTATTCAACTCTCAAAATTCTTGTTAAAATTTCAAACTGCAGAGCTCCTCAAGAATCTTAAATTGACCATTGTATACTTTGGATTTCTCTTTCCAAACAGGATTTCTAGTGCTATGATCTGAAACACAGGTACAATCTGAAGGTTGAATTCTGCTTGCCAAACTTAGCTGCATATCAGAAGAAAATCAACAAAGAGATTTTTAGGACTCTACCCTACTGAGTCTCCTAAGATGATATACTAAAAATCTGAATTTTTTTTATAAAGATCATCCCAGGGAATGTTATGATACAGGAAAGGGCTCAGATTAAAAAACAAAGGTTTCACTCCTCTACTGTAAATATCACAGACAGGCACTGTTTGGTCTGCCTTACAGAAGTCACCTTATCAAATTTTTGAGCTTGGAAAGAGTAGGTGAACAGAATGTTTCCCCATTTGCACAGGATTCTAAGTCAAATGCACTCCTTTATGATAGACTGGACGCAATTTCTCAAAGAGTAAATAAGAGCTAAGTGATTAATTTTCAAACTGTTATTCCCTGCTGTGACCATAATCCAAAGAAAGCTATGTTGTAATATCATCTATCACCTAAATTGCAGAAATTCCACATTATGAAATCACAGGCCATGGCATAGTATGTTCTTTGTACATTCAGTAAGGCTGTATGCCTGGATACTCATCATTTGACAACTATTAATCCATGAAACTATGATTCCCTGGGTGTTTGAATGTCCTGGGATTTGTATTTCTCACTGGGAAGCCAGAAGGCAAATTTTATTTTCATACTCTGGGACCTATAGCCAAGTTATATGACAATGACTTCAACTCCAAAAAGTCAATATACTTTACAAAAGTAATGTCAAAAGTTATTTAATAATACAGAAGCTCGGTCCCTGCTGTAATTTCAAAACTTTTTCAAAAAGTTTAAAAAATCAAAATATCTTTCATAATTCATTTGGCAGCAAAACCCAACCTCAACTGAATTTCTTTTGTGTCAAAACCTGACCTGAACTGGTGTGAGGCTATTAGTCTTTGCATATCCCACTTCATGTCAATACTTATGCATTTCACCAAAGAATTATTAATGTGTTTGATGATAGGGTGTTTCTCCAGAACGCAGTGGGGGTGTTACACACAATATGTGGTTCTTACATACATTATCTTATTTGATCTGTAGTCATACTCTGAATAAGGTATCCTTAAACCACATTATTTAAACTGAGAAACTGAGGCTCAGTGAGGTTTCTCAGGGTCATGAAGCTGGTAACAGACATAGCTAGACTTGAAAGTTAGGTCACCTAATAACAATTTTCAAGATCAATAAGGATATGGGCGCATAATTAAATAATGTTCACAATACCCAGAAAAGCTAGAGGCAGGACATGTAGATTTCCAGGTTCTGACTTCCCCAGATCTCCACCTAATCATGTGCACCCATGTCTTACTACATTATATATGGTCATCCTCCACCTAAATACCACCACTTAACTTCCAAACCTCCACTTGCTATACCCTGGCCAAATATCTTAGATCCAGAGAATAATAATGCCCTGAATTTAATGATAGTCCAAGAACTTCACTAAGCTTGTGTACCCTGCCACTCTTGCTTTCTAACTTTAAGAAAATTCAAAATTGAAATGACAGACCTGCAAATGTACTTGTACATGAAAATAAATCCAAATCATGGCCCACTGAGCTTCAAGACCCTTTCCCCAAACCCACTGTCCCTGCTATGATCCTGCTATGTGTCCCCATCAAATTCATATCTTGAAATCCTAACCCCCAAGATGATGGTATTAGGACATGGGGCCTTTGGAGAGGTGATTAGGTCATTAGGTTGGAGCCCTCATGAATGAAACTGGTATAGGAAAGTGGGCCCCAAAACTGGGGTCTGGCCTGAATGCCCAGTGCGTTCTTGGCCTCACACAGGAAAGAATTCAAGAGCAAGCCCACAGAGTAAAGCAAAAGCAAGCTTATTAAAGTAAGACAGAAAAAGGAGGCAGTCG